TTTCAGTATCGTCACGTGTCGTTATTAACATGCTTGGCTGTCACGACAACAAATTATTTGCATGATACTTATTCTGCCACTGTAATTTGTTACCCTTCCTGCTAACACTGACAGTAAAGCTAGTATAGCTGTCGCATAATACTTAGGTCACTGTTTGTTTACCCCTAGCTTTTTCACCGGTTAGCTGACGTTAGCTAGCAGGCTAGTGAGAGAAGTCAATTACGATCTAATTCGCTAGTCTTAGATATGTTGTGTAACTACTTCCAGTCCTGCCTGCCCTTGAACGGTCTATGTGTTAAGAAAAGTTGATTATTGTTGACTTGCCGGACACCAGCTTAAGGATACAACCCTTCCAAATGGCCCAAAGTACCCAAGAAGACTCGATGCTGTAATCGCTGCCAAAGGTGCTTCAACAAAGTACTGAGTAAAGGGTCTGAATACTTATGTAAATGTGATATTTAAGTTTAAGTTTTTTATAAGTTAGCAAACATTTCTAAACCTTTTTTTGCTTTGTCATTATGGGGTATTGTGTGTAAATTGATGAGGGAAAAATAACAATTTAATCAATTTTAGAATAAGGCTGTAACGTAACAAAATGTGGAAAAAGTCAAGGGGTCTGAATACTTTCCGAATGCACTGTATGTCACGTAACTACTTCCAGTCTTTGCCGAGCCTTGAACAGTCACTGTATTTAGAAAAGTTGATTCATGTTGGCTCGCCTAAATGTCCTTTCAACTTGCCGGACACCAGCTAGGGATACAACCCTTCCAAAATGGCCCAAAGTAGCCTATGGCGATATCTACACCTACTTGGTGGAATCTCCCAGGTTTACACAGGCAATATATATAGCTAGTTAGACACAAACAAGTGTTCGCTAGCGACTTACCGTGAATTAAGTGCTTTGAACACATAAATGTATCGAGTAACCGGAGCCCACAGCTTTCCGTCATTGCGTCGTATAGCCTGAAACCATGAGGGTTCATCTGACCTGGTCCTTGGGCAGTTGATGAAACTTAATTTGCTGCTCTTTTCTCCTACTATTGTTCAAACAAAACGGTACGCAACAGCTTTTTCGGAATCTCAGCTATAAAAGCAGGGTTAGTTAGCTAACCTTAGTTAGCTGAAGAAAGTCCATTGTAAATGGCTTTTTGGCTGATAATCGTGACGTACATTCCATGCGACAGCCTATCTGTTAACGCTAACATTTTTACATTTAGAATCAAAGTGTTTTTAGGTATGATGTAGTTTGTTGATTAGGACGACGTGGAAGCATGTTAAAAACTACCAACCAAGCATATACAAAATGTTTATAGAATGACAAAAAAAATAATAATACAGCCGTTGTCGAGTTATGAGTAAAGTTTAACATGGGAGTAAAGGGAGTACCCTACGGCTGTACCCTGTTTGGTGGCGTGGTCACGTTAAGCCACGCCACACCGTGTATCTATGGTGAGCAGGAGAGCAACTTTACGTTCACCGGGCTCCTTTGTAACTCCAATGGCGGACATGTACAGCAAAAAAAAAAAACGCTGCTGAAATGTTTTCCAATTCGTGTCCACACTCAAAAGTCTTTGGTGGCTTGATAACATCCATTGCACTTCCATAAACTCCAACGTTCACAGAGGAAACCCACCATTTTCACTCCTGTATGACTTTGTTGGTTACAGCGAGCAGAGACGACCACGAAACACCACGACCACCAATCACCACGACCACCAATCACCATGACCACCAATCACCATGACCACCAATCACCATGACCACCAATCACAAGTTTTAACATTGTTCCGCCATTGCTGGACATATTCCACAAGTGCCGTAAAACAAAACCACATCAATACAATGTTTACAAAAAAATTATGGCGAATTTGGCTACAGGAGCAGTAGAAAAGTATGAATTGAATGAAGGTCGATTTTGAGGTTTGTGCATGGTGCGGCCACGGTCCTGCTGAGGAGGCTAAGAAGAGGAAGTGAAATTAGAAAACCATGACAACCGTGACCATGATAACATCCTCTTTATTGAAAGATCCCCACATGGATTCCATAGAAGACAACAGATTTCATGATTATTTTGGTCAACCTGTTGTTTAGCCATAAGTAACCATTGTCATCAACATCATCATCATCTAAATATATATCAATAAACACAGCACAACCCAGGCATTGAGACAAGACACATCAAACAACAACAGAGTATCTGAATAGCATATTTATAAAAGAGAAACTTAACATAGTACAGTGCAGTGTGAAAAAGGATATAGAAAGAGTTACATGGAGAGAGAGAAGGAGAGGGGGAGAGAGAGAGAGAGAGAGTATAGGAGACGAGAGAGGAGATGATGAGATGGGGGGAGAGAGAGAGGAGCTCTTTTTTCTCTCTCTCTCTTTTTCTCTTTTTGTCACGTACGGGAGGCGGGATCAGAGGGGGCGAGAGGGATGGGAGACGGGGAGGGAGAGAGAAGGATGAGAGGAGAGGAGGACGAGGTGTGGAGATGAGAGAGGAGGGGAGAGAGAGAGAGAAGGAGAGGGGGAGAGAGAGGAGAGGGGGAGAGAGAGGTGTGCTTTGGAACGTTTCGTTTCTAGATCAGAGTAAAACTTTGCACAAACTGAAACTAAACGTCTGTGTTAGTAACGGTTCTAGTATGATGTCATGTTGCAGTTTAGACCCGTCGCAGAAATCAGTTTAAGGGGGCATTTGGGGGGGGGGGGGGGGGGTGTGCAGTTTCAGAGGCTTCAGGAAATCTCAACATGCAGTCTGATATGTAGAGGATCATCACATCTGCCTCTCTAGTTGGAAGGATAAATACTACAGCAGATCATTACTGGGTTTTCAGAGCAGTGTGGGTGGGTGGCAATTCAGCTGTTCAATTCAGTCAATGCAGGAAGTGAGTTGAAATTCAATTTGCAAATTTCTTCAAATCAGGAACTAAATTTCAAATAACTTCCTGAATTGATAACTGAATTGACCCTACCCCTTCTCTAAAAGAGAGGTGCAGAATGCTGCCAGATGATTGTAGATGCCATGTAAACTACCCAACGCGTGTCACGGACTGGATATAGAACAGAACTGACGAACTGAAAACGCGTATGGATGGTGATCATAGAGAATAGCTCTGGTGCCAAAGGTACGCTCAATCATTTTTCATAGAATGTTTATGATAAGAACTATAGCAGCAAAACCTGTAAAATGTCAAAATGCATATTGGATTTATTTGAAATGTCTACTGGCTTGGGAATGTTTCATCGTTTCAGTAATCAATATGTGTCAAACACATTTTTAACTCTACGTAAAAGTCACAAAAGATGAACCCCTTTCAACGTTTTACTGTAAACTCTATTCTAAATGGTTTCTACTGTAAATGTGTGTGAGAGAGAGAGAGAGAGGGAGAGAGAGAGAGAGAGAGAGGAGGAGAGGAGGAGAGAGAGAAGAGAGGAGATAGAGAGAATGAGAAGGGGGGGTACTGTTCGAGTCGGAGCTGCCCCCCCGCCTTCCCTTGGCCCCTTCGGCCCTTTTTCTCTCTCTCTTCGCTTCCGCCTTTTTTGGCCCTTATGAGGATGACGAGAGGATGAGAAGAGATAAAATTAGAGGGGGCGGGAAAGGAACATGCTTTAGAGAACCGGAAAAAAGATTGAGAGAGGGAAAAGGGAAGTGAGGGGAAATTTTGGATTAGACTCTATTACCTTTGGATAGAATCATGCTTTTAACACAAACCCCAACACAACCCTTCCTTCTGGGTCCACTCAACTAACTCCACAAAACCATGCAAAAAAACCAATAACCATGAACTTTTAAGGGCATAGTATCAAGGGGACTTATTCATATTACAGGGGAATATTCATAGATCAGGGAATATTCTATATCAGGGGGTTAAAATTTATGATCCTCTGTAACCATAATGTATCACTGTAATGCATGGACTTTACTGTATTCCTACTGTAATCCATGGACTTTACTGTATTCCTACTGTAATCCATGGACTTTACTGTATTCCTACTGTAATCCATGGACTTTACTGTATTCCTACTGTAATCCATGGACTTTACTGTATTCCTACTGTAATGCATGGACTTTACTGTATTCCTACTGTAATCCATGGACTTTACTGTATTCCTACTGTAATGCATGGACTTTACTGTATTCCTAGTGTAATCCATGGACTTTACTGTCATCCTACTGTAATCTGTGGACTTTACTGTATTCCTACTGTAATGCATGGACTTTACTGTATTCCTAGTGTAATGTATGGGCTTTACAAGTTCAACCAAAACAAAGTTCAAATAGCTTAGACTGAGGGAAGAAAAATATAAATCAATCAATGATTCCTTTATAACTCTTTTCGTCATGTTTGATTTGTTTCATGGCCACTGTATTTATAATGAGACTGACTGTTTTTAGTCCATCAACCTCTTCTCTAGACCTCTGCAATGTAGAAACACAACAGAACAAAAAAGCAGATGAATCAAATCAAATTACAAAGAAGAAGTTGTACCAAAATAAAAATTTGCAAATTGTTGCGAGGAGGAGCAATCAGTGTTTGGCAGAATTATTGTTACGATTATTTATTTACTAAACTCAAAAACCAAACATTAGAATAGTATAGCATTACCAAATATTTCTCTATATATTTGTTCGTAGTGACATCTATACAGCACAAACAAATACATTCTCTCAAAGATTTTTATATTACTATTATCAACATTGTAATCAATCTTTTTTTTGTTTGTTGTAATAATGGTATTGTGTTCAAGTTTTTCTTAATGTACTGTCTTTTTTTCAGTTACAATAACTAACATCTAGTCCCTCACCCTCCCTGTTCACCCTCCCTGTTCACCCTCCCTGTTCACGCTCCCTGTTCACCCTCCCTGTTCACCCTCCCTGTTCACGCTCCCTGTTCACCCTCCCTGTTCACGCTCCCTGTTCACGCTCCCTGTTCACCCTCCCTGTTCACCCTCCCTGTTCACCCTCCCTGTTCACCCTCCCTGTTCACCCTCCCTGTTCACCCTCCCTGTTCACCCTCCGTCTTTGTGTTTAGGTAACTCCCCTCCCTCCCTCATTTACTCAGCACACAGACATATGCACAAACAAACACACGGGAAGGAGTGTGGCATTGTGGGTACTGTAGTTTTCAGGCACCACACTCCCCAGGCTCTCCTCTGACTCTCTGTGGACAGAAAGAGAAGACAGGACACGTTAATGGGTGGTAGGTAACTGCACCGCCACCGAAACCCAGTTCTGTTACTTCTATTTTCATCCAGTTGCTGAGTAGAAGGGGGAGGTTGTGAACCAAAATGGAGAATCCTAATTGGGTTCATGATGTAAAATTATCACGTGATCTCAAAATCAAATCAAATCAAATGTTATTTGTCACACGTGCCCTTAACCATCAATGCAGTTCAAGAAATAGAGTTAAGAAAATATTTACTAAAGAAACTAAAGAAAAATAAAATAAAAAATAACAATAACAATAACAATAACGAGGCTATACACAGGGGGTACTGGTACCGAGTCAATGTGCGGGGGTACAGATTAGTCCAGGTAATAATGAGGCTATATACAGGGGGTACCGGTACCAAGTCAATGTGCGGGGGTACAGGTTAGTCCAGGTAATAACGAGGCTATATACAGAGGGTACCGGTACCGAGTCAATGGGCTGGGGTACAGGTTAGTCCAGGTAATAACGAGGCTATATATACAGGGGGGTACCTTTGCTGAGTCAATGTGCGGGGGCACCGGCTAGTTGAGGTAGTTGAGGTAATATGTACATGTGGGTAGAGTTAAAGTGACTATGCATAAATAATTAACAGAGTAGCAGCAGCGTAAAAAGGATGGGGTGGGGGGGCAGTGCAAATAGTCCGGGTAGCCATGATTAGCTGTTCAGGAGTCTTATGGCTTGGGGGTAGAAGCTGTTGAGAAGTCTTTTGGACCTAGACTTGGCACTCCGGTACCGCTTGCCGTGCGGTAGCAGAGAGAACAGTTTATGACTAGGGTGGCTGGAGTCTTTGACAATTTTGAGGGCCTTCCTCTGACACCGCCTGGTATAGAGGTCCTGGATGGCAGGAAGCTTGGCCCCAGTGATGTACTGGGCCGTACGCACTACCCTCTGTAGTGCCTTGCGGTCGGAGGCCAAGCAGTTGCCATACCAGGCGGTGATGCAACCAGTCAGGATGCTCTCGATGGTGCAGCTGTAGAATTTTTTGAGGATCTGAGGACCCATGCTAAATCTTTTCAGTCTCCTGAGGGGGAATAGGCTTTGTCGTGCCCTCTTCACGACTGTCTTGGTGTGTTTGGACCATGATAGTTCGTTGGTGATGTGGACACCAAGGAACTTGAAGCTCTCAACCTGTTCCACTACAGCCCCGTCGATGAGAATGGGGACGTGCTCAGTCCTCTTTTTTTTCCTGTAGTCCACAATCATCTCCTTTGTCTTGGTCACGTTGAGGGAGAGGTTGTTGTCCTGGCACCACACGGCCAGGTCTCTGACCTCCTCCCTATAGGCTGTCTCATCGTTGTCGGTGATCAGGCCTACCACTGTTGTGTCGTCAGCAAACTTAATGATGGTGTTGGAGTCGTGCCTGGCCATGCAGTCATGGGTGAACAGAGAGTACAGGAGGGGACTGAGCACGCACCCCTGAGGGGCCCCCGTGTTGAGGATCAGTGTGGCAGATGTGTTGTTACCTACCCGTACCACCTGGGGGCGGCCCGTCAGGAAGTCCAGGATCCAGTTGCAGAGGGAGGTGTTTAGTCCCAGGATCCTTAGCTTAGTGATGAGCTTAGAGGGCACTATGGTGTTGAATGCTGAGCTGTAGTCAATGAATAGCATTCTCACGTAGGTGTTCCTCTTGTCCAGGTGGGAAAGGGCAGTGTGGAGTGCAATAGAGATTGCATCATCTGTGGATCTGTTGGGGCGGTATGCAAATTGGAGTGGGTCTATGGTTACTGGGATAATGCTGTTGATGTGAGCCATGACCAGCCTTTCAAAGCACTTCATGGCTACAGACGTCAGTGCTACGGGTCGGTAGTCATTTAGGCAGGTTATCTTAGAGTCCTTGGGCACGGGGACTATGGTGGTCTGCTTGAAACATGTCCAGGTAATAACGAGACTATATACAGGGGGTACCGATACCGAGTCAATGTGTGGGGGTACAGGTTAGTCCAGGTAATTTGTACATATAGGTAGGGGTAAAGTGACTATGCATAGATATTAAACAGTGAGTAGCAGCAGTGTAAAAACAAAAAGGGGGGGGGGGGGGGGTCAATGTAAATAGTCTGGGTGGCCATTTCATTAATTGTTCAGCAGTCTTATGGCTTGGGGGTAGAAGCTGTTAAGGAGCCCTTTGGACCTAGACTTGGCGCTCCGATACCGCTTGCCGTGCGGTAGCAGAGAGAACAGTCTTATGACTTGAGTGACTGGAGTCTTTGACAATTTTTTGGGCCTTCCTCTGACACCGCCTGGTATATAGGTCTAGGATGGCATGAAGCTTGGCCCCAGTGATGTACTGGGCCGTACGCACTACCCTCTGTAGCGCCTTACGTCGGATGCCAAGCACTTGTCATACCAGGCGGTGATGCAACCAGTCAGGATGCTCTCGATGGTGCAGCTGTAGAACATTTTGAGGATCTGAGGACCCATGCCAAATCTTTTCAGTCTCCTGAGGGGGAAAAGGTGTTGTGGTGCCCTCTTCACAACTGTCTTGGTGTGTTTGGAACATGATAGTTTGTTGGTGAGGTGGACACCAAGGAACTTAACTCTCGACCCACTCCACTACGGCCCGTCAATGTTAATGGGGGCCTGTTCGGCCCTCCTTTTCCTGTAGTCCACGATCATCTCCTTTGTCTTGTTCACATTGAGGGAGAGGTTGTTGTCCTGGCACCACACTGCCAGGTCTCTGACTTCCTCCCAATAGGCTGTCTCATCGTTGTCACTGTTGTGTCATCAGCAAACTTAATGATGGTGTTGGAGTCATGCTTGGCCACGCAGTCGTGGGTGAACAGGGAGTACAGGAGGGGACTGAGCACGCACCCCTGAGGGGCCCCGGTGTTGAGGATCAGCATGACAGATGTGTTGTTCCCTACCCTTACCAGGGAGTCCAGGATCCAGTTGCAGAGGGAGGTGTTTAGTCCCAGGGTCCTTAGCTTAGCGATGAGCTTGGAGGGCACTATGGTGTTGAACGCTGAGCTGTAGTCAATGTGTGTCTTTTTGTATGTTTAATTGATCATGCTTATATTAAAACACAATAGAACAGAGTTTAAAGAAATACATTGATAAAAATGTAAATAATATCATATAAAATAATAAAAATATTCCTCATAACACCTCATAATAATACCTCATAATATCAATAATGCATTGTCCCTGTCTAATAACCATGTGTGACTCACTAGCCGCCAGACTTCCTCCTTACCTCTTCCTCCTCCTCCTCCTCACATCTGATTGGCGAAGGAGGTGGGGGCCTGTCCGTATTCTCCGCCTTCCTGGTTGTACCCCTGCTGCTGTTGCTGCTGGTTGTATTCTGGCTGGTAGCCCCCCTGGGAACCGGCGTACGGGTCCTGCTCGTACCCCGCCTGCTGGCCGTACGAGTCCGGGGCGGGCTGCTTCTCCTGGGGAGGAGGGGCACGCATGAAAGGGGCGATGATGCCGGTCTCCTTAAAGACGAACCACAGGTTTCCTCCCCACAGCACCAGGTTCATGAAGCCAAAACACTGGGAAGAGAGGGACAAATGGTGAGATTACAATAAAGAACTGAACTGGAGATACTTGATAGATATGATGATGGGAGGGAAGGGAGAAGAGGGGAAAGGGGGGAGGGAGGGAGGGAGAGGGAGAGGGAGAGGGAGAGGGAGAGGGAGAGGGAGAGGGAGGGAGAGGGAGAGGGAGAGAGAGAGAGAGATTTCTCATCAATCTACACACAATACCCCATAATGACAAAGCAAAAACAGGTTTTTAGAAGTGTTAGCAAATTTATTGAAAAAAAAAAAAAACATTTACATGCGTATTCAGACCCTTTGCTATAAGACTTGAAATTGTGCTCAGGTGCATCCTGTTTCCATTGATCATCCTTGAGATGTTTCTACAACATGATTGGGGTCCACTGTGGTAAATTAAATTGATTGGACATGATTTGGAAAGGCACACACCTGCCTATATCAGGTCCCACAGTTGACAGTGCATGTCAGAGCAAAAAACAAGCCATGAGGTTGAAGGAATTGTCCTTAGAGCTCCGAGACAGGATTGTGTCGAGGCACAGATCTGGGGAAGGGTACCAAAACAATTCTGCAGCATTGAAGGTCCCCAAGAACACAGTGGCCTCCATCATTCTTAAATGGAAGAAGTTTGGAACCACCAAGACTCTTCCTAGAGCTGGCCGCCGGCCAAACTGAGCAATCAGGGGAGAAGGGCCTTGGTCAGGGAGGTGACCAGGAACCCGATGGTCACTCTGACATAGGTCCACAGTTCCTCTGTGGAGATGGGAGAACCTTCCAGAAGGACAACCATCTCTGCAGGACTCCACCAATCAGGACTTTATGGTAGTGGCCAGACGGAAGCCACTCCTCAGTAAAAGGCACATGACAGCCCGCTTGGAGTTTGCCAAAAGGCACCTAAAGGACTCTCAGACCATGAGAAACAAGATTCTCTGGTCTGATGAAACCAAGATTGAACTCTTTGGCCTGAATGCCAAGCGTCACATCTGGAGGAAACCTGGCACCATTCCTACGGTTAAGCATGGTGGTGGCAGTTTCATGCTGTGGGGATGTTTTTCAGCGGCAGGGACTGGAAGACTAGTCAGGATCGAGGGAAAGATGAATGGAGCAAAGTACAGAGAGATCCTTGATGAAAACCTGCTCCAGAGCGCTCAGGACCTCAGACTGGGGCGAAGGTTCACCTTCCAACAGGACAACGACCCTAAGCACACAGCCAAGACAACGCAGGAGTGGCTTCGGGACAAGTCTCTGAATGTTCTTGAGTGGCCCAGCCAGAGCCCGGACTTGAACCCGATCTAACATCTCTGGAGAGACCTGAAAATAGCTGTGCAGCAACGCTCCCCATCCAACCTGACAGAGCTTGAGAGGATATGCAGAGAAGAATGGGAGAAACTCCCCAAATACAAGTGTGCCAAGCGTGTAGCGTCATACCCAATTAGACTCGAGGCTGTAATCGCTGCCAAAGGTGCTTCAACAAAGTACTGAGTAAAGGGTCTGAATACTTACGTAAATGTGATATTTCCGTTTATTTAAATTGTATTTTTTGCAAAAAATCCTAAAACCTGTTTTTGCTTCGTCATTATTGGGTATTGTGTATAGATTGATGAGGGGAAAATAAGACTGTAATGTATCAAAATGTGGAAAAATCAAGGGGAATACTTTCCGAATGAACTGTATATACACAAGTATATGGACACCCCTTCAAATTAGTGGATTCGACTATTTCAGCCACAGCCGTTGCTGACAGGTGTATAAAATCGAGCACATAGCCATGCAATCTCCATAGACAAACATTGGCAGTAGAATGGCCTTACTGAAGAGCTCAGTGACTTTCAACGTGGCACCGTCATAGGATGCCACCTTTCCAACAAGTCAGTTAGTCTAATTTCTGCCCTGCTTGAGCTGCCCCGGTCAACTGTAAGTGCTGTTATTGTGAAGTGGAAACGTCTAGGAGCAACAACGGCTCAGCCGCGAAGTGGTAGGCCACACAAGCTCACAGAACAGGACCGGCGAGTAGTTCATCTTATTTTTTCCAATTTCAATGAATGTAACGTAAGATCTCTGCTACAATGAATGTAATGTAAGATCTCTGCTACAATGAATGTAATGTAAGATCTCTGCTACAATGAATGTAACGTAAGATCTCTGCTACAATGAATGTAACGTAAGATCTCTGTAATGTAAGATCTCTGTAATGTAAGATCCACAGTGATCCACTGCTGGAACTATCAATAAACAGACAATATTATTGTACTTGACCGAACACAGCAGAGACACTCACAAGGTAAGATCCCTGCTACAATAAACTGTTATCGTATTGAAGCAAAACGTAGCCGTTAAAACCAGACACTCACGACGGAGGTGTTGAGTCCGGACATGACGGGGTCATGAACTTCACGACAGCGGTTCCCCTCCTCATCGCAGGCTGAGATCAGATCCACCACCTTCTCAGGGTCTGTGGACGCCTTGACATCCGACAGGCCCTTAGCCCACGCAGCTGAGCTGACCAACCACATGAAGGTAAACACACACGTCACGCCAAAGTCCTGCAGTGGAAGGTAGAAACACACACAGGAAACAGGGAATGAGGTCAAACACATAGAATGACATATAGAACACCTGATCAAAGATGGCTGCCAATATCAGCACATTCTAAAGCTATACAGGTCTATGACATCAGACACTAGGATCTCTACGGTAAATATACACAGGAAGACGGGAGGAAGTCAAACGTTCAAAATCGACTGCTACAGTGGTGAACGTAAACGTGCGGAAATAAAAGGGATTGAGTGCAAATATATTTGATTGACCCTTCAACTGTAAATGCAACAACACACATCCTTCTGCACGCACACACATCAATCTGCACGCACACACATCAATCTGCACGCACACACATCCATCTGCACGCACACACATCCATCTGTACACATGCACACAAATCCATCTGCACGCACGCACATCCATCTGCATGCACGCACATCCATCTGTACACATGCACACAAATCCATCTGCACGCACATCCATCTGCATGCACGCACATCCATCTGTACACATGCACACAAATCCATCTGCACGCACACACATCCATATGCACCCACGGACACACATCCATCTGCACGCACACACATCCATATGCACCCACGGACACACATCCATCTGCAGGCACACGCATCCATCTGCACGCACACACATCCATATGCACCCACGGACACACATCCATCTGCACGCACGCACATCCATCTCCCCCCTCCCACTCACGATGAGTGGTCCCTTGTTGTTCTCCCGGTACTTCTCCAGGGCGAAGACGTAAACGCTGAGGGCAGCCATGGAGTAGAGGAAGGCGAACACTCCGATGGTGACGAAGAACTCTGCTGAGGAAGAGTAGTCACCAACCAGGAAGAGACGTTCGGGGGGACCCCCCTTACAGGTCGGGGCGTCAAAGTATACTTGGTGAAGCCTGAAGATGGAGAGAGAGGAACAGGAGATTCTCAATCAATCAATCAATCAATCAATCAATCAATCAAACACACACATATATATATATATATAAGGAGTATGTGGACACCTCTTCAAATGAGTGGATTTGGTTATTTCAGCCACACCTTTTGCTGACAGTGTATACAATTGAGCACACCGCCATGCAATCTCCATAGACAGACTTTGGCAGTAGAATTGCCTTACTGAAGAGATCAGTAACTTTCAACGTGGCACCGTCATAGGATGCCACCTTTCCAACAAGTCAGTTCGTCAAATTTCTGCCCTGCTAGAGCTGCCCCCGGTGAACTATAAGTGCTGTTAT